TCAGTTCTGCTGGTTGGATTGTGAGGATCTGTTTCGTTCGGTCGCTTGTTAATAGCCTTATAGATTACCAGGCCCTGTTAATTCTGCTGCCTTTGACCCTGTCTTTGGCATTTTTTTAATGATGCTCTTGTTTTAGGATATTTATCATTTACTTCTAACATTTCAGTGTTTCTTGAATGTGACAGTCATTTCCCTTTTGCATCTGCAGCGAGACATATCGTTACTATGACTTGCCATTCTGCTCACCAGGTTATTCGCTTATCCTTACTGTTCCATCGACTTCTGAGCTGCATGAGTCTGTTAGCAACACTATTTATACGTTTGTTAGTGTGTACAACTCTTTACAAAACTTTGTTGATTTAGAGCATGTTACCGAAAAGACGGAAGCCCTTGGGGAAGTTCTAAATGGTGATCGTTTGGTCGATGCACCGTACGAATTAAATTTTCTGGAGGATCAGCAGTCAAAGTCTCTTTGTAAAAAAACCTGTCAATAGAAGATGTTGCAAAGTTCAGATATGCTGTATCAAAGGACTATTACTTTGAAATGTATTATGATGATCTGCCTTTATGGGGTTTCCTGGGCAAGATCGAGGGGGTCAAGACTGATTCGGGCAAAGACAAGTACTTTCTCTTTAAACACATTCACTTCAATATCCTTTACAATGATGATCGGGTCATAGAGATCAATGTACAAACGGACCCCAATATTAATTTGGATATCTCGGAGGATAGGAAATTGGATGTCGAGTTTTTATATTCTGTGACATGAAAAAATACTGACATATCTTTTGAAGAAAGGATGGCAAAGTACTCAAGGACATCCTCTATGCCTCAATATTTAGAGATTCATTGGTTCTCAATTGTTAATTCATGTGTGACTGTCCTTCTTCTGACTGGGTTTCTTGCTACGATTCTCATGCGTGTGCTCAAAAATGATTTTGTAAAGTAAGATATATAGACTCCATGGTTTTCATTTTGAAGCATATTTCCTTATGTTCACTATTTCATCTGCCACTAAAATACTATCATCATGAAGATATTCTCTCATTGAGGAGTCTCTTGAAGATCAAGAGGATTCTGGATGGAAATATATCCATGGAGATGTCTTCCGATTTCCAAAGAACAAGTCTTTGTTTTCAGTTATTATTGGTTCTGGAACTCAGCTCCTAGTGCTGTAAGAGCTCTCACTAACCTCTTCTAATGCTGATTTCTGTTAATATCATCTGATACTTTTGACTCATGACTAGTACAATGTTCATCTTCCTTCTTGCACTTGTTGGTGTGTTCTACCCATACAATCGGGGAGCCCTTTACACAGCTCTTGTTGTCATCTATGCTCTGACTTCCGGTATCGCTGGTTACACAGCGAGCTCCTTCTATATGCAGCTCAAAGGGACTAATTGGGTAAGAAGTTGCTTCAGCATTAATTTCTAGTCATACCACTTGTAGTCTGCATGGGTTAATTATCTTTGCCTCTATTTGACTGCAGGTGAGGAATTTGTTGTTGACTGGCTGCTTATTTTGTGGTCCCTTATTCTTGACATTCTTCTTCCTGAACACTGTTGCTATTACATATAGCGCAACTGCAGCTCTGCCATTTGGAACCATCCTTGTGATTCTACTTATATGGGCATTGGTTACTTCCCCTTTGCTCATATTGTGTGGGGTTACTGGTAAAAACAGCAAAATTGAATTCCAAGCTCCATGCAGTACCAACAAGTACCCAAGAGAAATTCCTGAATTGGCATGGTATCGAGGCACCATACCTCAGATGGCAATGGCAGGATTCCTTCCTTTTAGTGCCATCTATGTACAAGTAGAACTCTACTATATATTTGCTAGAGTGTGGGGTCACAACATATATACAATATATAGTATGCTTTTTATTGTTTTCATCATTCTTATAATTGGCACAGCGTTCATCACTGTTGCATTGACATATTTCCAACTTGCAGCAAAGGATCATGGGTGGTGGTGGAGGTAAGTATCTGGCCTTCTCTTTTGTACTAGATAATTCTACCATTCAGTTGGTCTAGCATAGACACTGCAGTCTGTTTTTGCATCTTGAAACTGTTGTGCTTGAACATATTTGTAAATGCGGTACCTCTTTTGTCATTTAGTTGTCTTGAGTCGAGAGTTCTTTGAATCATGTCATACATTAAGGTTTTATTTCAGTTCATCTTTCAAGAACTTCTAATGTTATTTCATTCATTTTAATTGACACGGTTTACAAGAGTTT